ATAACCCACTGCATAAACAAACAAGGATGTAAGGTAACTGTTGTGGTTATTGTGCTTCCCTTTCTTCCCTTCCCCTTTACCTTTGTTAAGTGACAGGAATGAACACTCAGAGTGAACAAACTACCCTGTAACCTCTCATTTTCCATTAATTTTGAAAAATTACAGACTTGTAATTTTGAGAGCAGGTAGGTGGCTTTGGTGAAAGTTATTAGCAGAGAATCAACTCCTGTGGCTTTGCAGACTCATCCTTACGTAAACTCATCCCTGCCATGAAGTTCAATCCATAACACATTGCTCCCTTTAGACATACCTAAAAGAATATTTCACTTTTTTGAAAAAATTGTCCTTACATCCTTGTAATCATCTAACTCTTCTGTGTAGATATAACTCTATATATGGAATAATTTGTAAAAAGATAAATTATGCTATTTTCAAAATACTGAGATACAAAGTTGTGCATGTGCAAAGTTTGATAGTATATTGCTATAAAGGCTAAGAATTAATTAATTAGTGTTATCTGAGTATATATTCTTTAAGATGGGAGTATAGATTTAATATTCTGGGGTTCTATTTTTGCTTTTTTTACATTTCATACTTTCTTCAGACTACCTCCATGTTTCTATCAAATTCCTTTTATTTTTTCTTTCTTTTCAATTTCTGATCCCTTAAAGGTACAGTAACTGATCACACATTCATACTTGTTACTAGTGTACTTCCATAACTCTGGTAGATTGAAAAACATCTTTTCATTTCCACCTAAACACAGTCATTTCTCCTAAGTGAATAGTGAGAGACTACTGGCAAAAATCTTTCCCCCACTGAAATGGATGGAACCAATTTTTCAGCGTCAAGCTTTAAGTACTCTGCTCTTTTAGTCTTACAGCATCATGGAGCAAAGCCCCAAACAAACTATACATGTATGCACCGTTACTGAGGCTGTTCGTATTCACGGAGCATAGCAAGGAAATTGAAATCAAATGTTCTCATTGGTGTCTCTACATTTACATACAAAACTGCTCACAGTGCTGTGAAATACTGAGAGAGAAGAAAACAGAACAGAAATGTTTGGGTTTTGACTACTCTCCACGTATTCCTCTGACCCTAACTATAAGAAAGCCAGCTGACCAGCTTGCTTCTACTAGACATACGCTTTTCCTGCTAGTCTCTTACACCAGCTGACCGCATCTCTAAATTAATAAACACCAGTGACTCGGCCTAAAATGGAGCATGTTGTAACCTGTGTCATTGACCTTGTTCATTCTGCATTCCAACACAATGCAATAAATTACCACTGCAGAGAAAAGGATGGAAGAAACTGAACTGCTACTACTGCCCGTGTAGCAGAAACCAGTTACTCGCCTAAGTAAAACGTGCATATCGGGAAGGTGAAGGAAGGCTCGGGTTGATTATGCTGTTTGGTCTATCTGCAGGACAGCTGCTTGGGTCGTTTCTTCATCAGATTGTTCCATTTGCCCACTGACTGGGTTGTTTCTTTCATCATACAGTTTCTGGCTAGAAGGCATCCCATACTCTTCATCATCTTCAACAATGGACAGCTCGATGTTGTTGTTCATCATGGTGTTCCCTTCCATTCTGGCTTCCTTCTCTAGAGAATCGGCTACTGCTTTGCCCTCCTCGGTCAGCGAGGTGGTAGGTGTCGCATCTGAGTGCATGTCGGTGAATGACGTTTCATCCTCATTCTGAACTTGGTCGTGGCTTGTAGTTTCTGTTGGTCTGTCCTCAGCTTCAGCGGGGCTTTCTCCTTCACGGACCTTCTTCGCGTTGAATGTGAGGGGAGATACTTTGAAAGCCGAACTCTTTGAAGAGGAGGATTTCTGATGATGTACAGTAAGCGATTTCTTGATCTTTTCTCTCCGTTCAGGCGAGACAATCTTTGTGCTGATCTTGTTCATCTTCTTCTCAATGTTTTGGCGGGAAAATGCTTTCTTGAGGCTGTCTACCTTCTTGAGGCTGGATCTTTTAATTTTCTCAGCTCTTGATTCTTCTGTTTTCTCCTCTGCACTGTCATCCACATCATCTTCATCGTGAAACATTTCATCATCTGAACACAACTCCACTGTGTGCAAGGTTTCTTCCAGTGTTTTGTTCTCATCCACAGGCTCCTCTTTTCCTTCTGTAATGCTAGGAATAGGCTCTTTTGCAAAAACGCTGGCAGGGATCTCATTTTCCTCCTGAAAGAATTGACAATATTTGAGTTTCGTAGTTCACAGGACACAAATTTAATAAACAAAGCACAACTCTGAACAATTACCTTCCCCCCCACCCCCCCGATGAGATGAAGAATGCTGAATATTTTGGGTTTTGTTGTTTCAGTATATTTAACCAGTAACAAGCCACTCAAAGCCCACTGAACCATTATCTGGTAAAGTTTAAGACTAATGAGCTGTCAGCTGTTAGATTTCTCTTTCAGAGTGACTTGGAATGTATACAAAATGGAAATCCTGTTCTTTGTCATTTAAATTGGATACTCTTTAATAAGAGTTTAGCTGTAAAGTTGTACAGCTATCCCTGGGGAGAAAGGATGGTATGGCGGCTAAGGAGGTTGTACTTAGAGACCCCTGCATAGACCTATAGAAGTCACATAACCCCCCCGAGCTTTCAGTTTCTCTAGCTAAAGACTGGGAATATCTCTGCAGAGATGTTGGTTGCATCTGAGGGGTATCTTGGATGGCAAATGCAGTTAACAATTTCACTGCATTTCAGAAAAATGTATGTTGCTGTTAAAAATGGGTTGTTGATACTGAGGAGCCATGCAGTCCATGATGTTTAGAGTATGTGCTATTTTACAGCTATTTACAGAAAAAAAGTAAATTTGGTTGGCAAACTGGTAAATATTAAAAATATGGACAGGACAACTGCTTGAAAAATAATAGAAAAAATGTTTATGCTATACAAAAATAAAGAGACATTATGCCACATAGAAAACACTAGTAGTTGCTTTAGCTAAGAGGAAAACGATTGCTTCTTAGAAACAAAACCAAGAAAGGGTGAGGAAAGAAAGAAGGTATCTGAAAACAAAATGGGCTGAACAAGGGCAGAAGCTGCAACTGGTAATGAAGGACCTCTGTGACTACCGAGCACAGAAGCTCTGCAACCCCGCGCAGTTCAGAGGCAGCACAATGAACGCTCTGTTCTGTGGTATGTTTTGCAGGCATCTGCCCATGCAAAGAAAACGAGGGTCCGTGCACACTGCCTTTGCCTTGCAGAATTGTTATGCCTTAGATCTGCATAGTCTCTCTTAATTACCTTTTTTTATCCCTTTCAGATAAAGCGCATGCAATATCACTTAGTCGTATGGATTGGAAGGATTTTCTTTCTCCCTGCCCTCCCCTATTTATCTTTAGATAGGAAAAGGAGTGCTGAGTGAAGTGGTTGTAGTAGTCTCAGATCTGTCCCTAGTGGGCCTGAGTGTACCGTTAAGGGGAAGAAAAAGGCTACACACACTTAGAAGTTCATGCTCATTATTTCAGGACTGAGCATACAGCTGCGATCACTGGAGAGAATAGTGTCTTGGGTTAAATTTGCTGTTGAGGCTGTATAAGGATGTTGTACACAGTTGTTTTTAAAAACAAAATAGTCCTGACTACTTTGTAGCACTTCTGGAACTCAAGAATATGCATATGGACAGGCAGAATCATTTTATACCTAGATATACGCAGTATATAATCATATATACACTGTGATTCAAGTGTGTTGATATCCCTCAAGGGTATAAAAATGAAAAGTATCAAAAAAAATGGATGGCGATTTGACAGTTTGTATGCGATTTAATTCTATAGTTTCTGCACACCTTTCTGGACCAGCAGCCTCAGTGGGGTACACTGCCACAGATGAAGCTTTCCAAGCCCTTGGCCTGCAGTGGAACATCTAATAAAGCCAGTGCTCTTCTCCTGACACCTATAATGTTGTTGCAGCTATCGGCAACGGTGACCAAGATAACAAAACAAAGAAAACCTGCACCAGCTTTAAGTGAAAACAGCTGTAACTACAGTACAAATATTTACATTTTCTCTCTACTGCAGTTAATGAAATGTGGATTACATGAGTGGGTGCAGTGTTAAGTTATTCCCCAGAGCATGAGAACTCTGTATAAAGCATAATCTACCTGTCTTGTGCATTCTTTCCAAACCTAGGTAATTGCATACAGCTTTAAACATCTGAATGTTCAGGTGTAAGTGCCTGAATGGCATAGAAAACTCTGATTTTAATGAGTAAAGATGGGTTGTAACTTTTAAAGTATTTAATCTAGGAAGGTGGTGTCATATGAGATTCATCACGGTGCAGTCTGAGCCAGAGACAGGCCAGTGCAGCTCCTCTCAAGGTCAGTTTAGCTCTGTGTCTACGGTATTCATGTGAAACTGAAGTACTGCATGCAGTCTCTAGAAGAACATGGACATAGATTTTATTTCAATTTTTATTGAATTTGTGACTGAGTAGAAGGGAGACTGTCAAACTATACATATTTATAAAGATAAAAAACCCGAACAAAAATATACTGTGTAATAATGAGCTAATGATTCAATTAAAAGCAGATCCTAGGTGGTCTTTGGCTATCAGACAGTACTGGCATTCAAGAAAGCACCTCTCTGTCTTAGCTTCCTGCGTGGCCCTGGAAAACATCAGCCTCTGGGCATCTGTTACTCTGCTTGTAGAATGGGAATGACATGCTTTCCTATCTCACGTTTCTAAAAGACCTTAGGATCACAGGAACTATTAAAATGCAAATGAAAATAAATTAAGTAAAATGCTTTGGAAATTCAAAGGTGGTATAGTAGGAATGCTCTGTGGTGGAACAGACCTTTCTATTTCAAATACAGTTACTGATAACCTGTTGTTAGTGGGCTTTCGGTAACTTTTTGCTCTAATAAGTTTATATGACAGCTGTATTTTGTTTTGATACATTTTTCAAGCAGTCTGGTATTTAATTTAGGAAGACTAGAACAATACACTGAAAAGTGCCAACTGTTACAAACTGTGTAACTATTTTCCATGCCAAAAAAAGTAGAACTTTGATCTTTTCTTCTTGATCTAATCTAAAATTCTGAGAAAGCAATACATCTTTTTATTTTCCACATCTGAGTTCAAAAACAGCACTTGCATTTTCTCAGATGAGCGTGACTATAGGTAGCTGGCTCCTCTGAATTTTATTTTTCCATGTAGGAGACAAATAGAATAGTGCAAGTTCTCTCTGTATAACAACTGTTGCTAACACTAGTAATGCTTGCAAAGTTAAAATTGGTGCCTTCCCTATGGCTTTGATCAGCCATTCTCAGGAACTTTCTATAGGTCATAATCTCATCCCTATCTTTTACCAGAAAGGAAGGTAAGATCCATAATGGTGTACTACAAAACTGGATGGCCTGAGAGAACAGGTACTTAATTTACTCAGGAGTGGTGAATCTCTGATGTCGCATAAAGGAAATTAGTGTGCTTTGCTTTGGATTTTTGTTAGATTTGTTGTAAAAGGCCACAGCCTTCAAGAATGGGAGATGGCATTTTCACATATGGCAGTCCAGGCTCCTCCATACTTTGTAGATGCTGGTATATGCCTAAACAATTACTAGTCTAAAACTTGTTTTGCTACACAAAATAGGTCAAAAGATGACAAATCCTTCTAAAACCAGCTGTAGCCGCACTTACTTTCCTTCAGACAAACACACGCTCTTCAGACCTGGATGTCACCACAGGAAGGGAGGAGGGCAGGGAGCAGGCTGGGACGGTGGGCAAAGAGGAGGGAATTGCCAGTGCCCGTTTGCATGTCCTGTGCCAGCTGGGGTGTTGGCTGCACCATCCCCCTGACCTCCCACAGCACAGCCGGATCAAGTCATAAGAGCCATATGAGGTATTTTTGTCATTAATCAATATAAGAGTATTCTCCCTGCAAGGCTCCAGTGGGAAATTCAGTAGTTAGATAGTAGCGTTATTGGCTTGTAATTCTTCTGTTTCCCTCACTTGTTCCTGTTCAAGTTTGAAGTTGCTTTCTCAAAAAGATTATTACAGTGACTGAAACAAGAAGATACAACCAAATGGCTAATTTCCTGTGCCCTCCTCTTGCTTCATTTCAGGATGAAGCATTTACCAAGAGCAGCATCTGAAACGGTCTTGAATATCAGTGTGCTTGACCCCAAGCTGTAATTTTGACTTATGTTATCTGTCCTATTCACTAGTAAACATGACATTTAATTGAAAAATTAAACATCAGCCTCTTTTATCTTGCATTTTGCTTTTGCAGCTAAAAAAGCAAACAAAAACCCCACCAAACCACAACCAAAAAGCTGGTCATGTGGCAAGAACAAAATAGAGGGGAATAATGCCAAAGCTTAACAAGGATTTTTAAAACAGTCACTTCAGTGTTTTGCTAAATTGCTGTGTCACTTGTGGCATTTGTGGTAACTTTTGCATCCTCAAATCCTTAGAATGGAGCTTCCTTAAAATATGTCACCAATTAAAGAAATATATGCAAACTAGCGATAATGCAAACAATCTAGGGAGAGAAAAGTAAGAGCGTTTTAATAGAAAATATGTAAATAGCTGAACTTTTCTAAACGCAGTTCATTCTCAGTGTGTACGCTGAGGGAAAGCTGATGCTGGCGAGTGGCAGAACGGTTTTATAAAATGCAGAGCTGGGGCTCAGTCATGTGTTTTGTCTATGCTCAGTGCTCCCATCAAGTATCAGTGACTTTGAGGTATACGGTGAATGCAGAACTGAATCACAAACGTGTATTTTTATTTTCATACTGAGCTGTCTTCCTAAGCTGGAAAAGCAGGTTCTAGTGAGAAATACGCTGCATGAAGTTTGGGATTGTTTGTTTTTTAGTGGAAAAGAAGAATCCCCCAACCGAAGAGAGGTCTAATACATCCAGATTTCCTTTTTGTTTTTGCAGAAATCTGGCATCAATATGGCTTCATTGCTGTGACTTCTCCTTCCTGCAATTGTTTTTCCATGGATTCCTGCTTGAGGCAGGACAGAAACCCAGCCAGCCTTCTGCTTTTCCCTCTACAATTACCCTACCAAGGCAGTGGCCCTGCTGGCTACCAGTTCGTCCCACCTCCAGCTTGTAAGGAGACCTGGCAGTGAGATTTCAAGGAGGTGAGCACGCAGGTAAGGCGCCTGCCCAGCCTGGCAGCAGGCATGTGGCCACGGCCTGGCAAGCACCCACCATCTCTTCGGGTGCGGCCGCTTCCCCAGTGGAAAATCCCAGCTCCTCCCAGGCTCTGCTGGAGAAAGCCCTGGGCGCTGCCTGCCGTGGCTACCCTCCCACGCCCCGGAGAGCTCTGCTGGTCGCCCTGGTTTTCTAGACAGCCACGCTGCCTTTTAGCAGCAGTCCAGTGCCAGGATCAATTCCCAGTGGACAGCTGAATTTTTTTTACTGAATTTAACTGCAGTGTTTCTTTTCAAAGGCTGGTGTTCCTGACCTGCATCAGCTTGGGATTGGTTAAGTTCATCTTCCCCAGCCATGGCAACATATTTTCCAGTGAGAGACGGGAACAGAGTCAATTAAATCCTTGTAAAAGCAACGAAGAACAGACCTGCTGTCCAAAGGTACCAGCCCAGTGACAGGCAGTAGGGAAGCAGTGGATTTTCTTTAGCTGTTGTTCTGGGATGCAGACCTGTGTCCTTTGCTTTGGGTTTGTGCACTTTAGGACCCAGTATTAAAGAAAGGCTCAGAGGTTTAAATAGGCCTTGGCTTTGCAATACTATTTAGTGTCGGGAAACAGGCAAAGCCAGCCCTCCCTTGTAGGGATGCTGCTTTACCCTTCAGACCCTTCTTGGTGAGTTCTACCCTTACTTTCATCCAGTGCCTGCAGATCACTGCCACTAGGCAGCAGCAACAGGGATCCGGGTAACGTGAACTGCCCTGCACACACAGAGCTGTGTGTTTGTCTTTCCTCTCTGCATTATGTCCTCTTAAAATGCTAAAATTTGAGTTCTCTGGAGGAAGATGCTGTAGTTGCAACAGCAAAGCCTTAATTGTCACGCTTGGAGGTAGCACAAATGCCACAAAATTACCTTCCCGCAGGCCACGCTGGCACATCCTCCCTGCCGGAAGCGTTCAAGGTCTAGGACCAAACCTGGAGGCGGGAGCCAGTCATTAGCTAATGGGGCCTGGGAGATGGCAGTGTTTTGACTTACAGTAATGGATCTCAAATTACTTGCAGAAGTGCAGAGAACATGTGTCTTTTAATTTACCAGTCTCTGGAATAATTTCCACATTCCTTCTGGGATGGAAACCACCATGCTCACTACATGCTGCAGCTCCTCCTCTTCTGGCTTGACAAGCCTGGACTGTAATTTGGGAGAACAATAAGCAGGGAGGTGGGGGCTTCCTTTCTGGGGGAAGTGCCTGCGTGCGTGCTAGCATGGCCTGCCAGCTTTTAAAAATCAAGTACTGCTCTGTTGTTTTAGGTTTGTTTAAACAGAAAAACCCCCAGCAACCCAAGGAGTAGAGTTAGTGACTGATGGATGTAACACCCAGCCGACAAGTTTAGCGTGAGGCACTGGTAATGTGCCCAAGCTGTGGCTGCTCCAGCCCTGTGTTCGCTCTCCTGCCTTCCCCGGTGTGTTGCTGTGGAGGTCCGTGGTTTTTTT